GAAAGAGACTAGGGTTGTAAACGCTGTCTCATCGTCGAATGCGGGTTGACCTCATCATGACGCACCGGATATTAAAACTGGGTGATTACCCCATCTTGAGACCGCTGCTTCATCAGCGCACACCAAGCAGCCCACGCGAACACCGGTACAAGCTTATCGCACGGGATTTGAGACGAGTCGCTCACCAACTCTGCTTCGAGCGGAGAGTGGTGGATATTTGGAACAACCTGCCTGCAGACATAGTGGAAGCAAAGTCGGTGTCGGAATTTAAGAAACGCCTGGACTCGAACATTGTCGATTTGAGATTTCGAGAAATATATATATATATATATATATATATATATATATATATATATATATATCAAAGGTTAGCGGCATCCGGTTTAGGATTTGCATGAGCGACGTGTGCAAGTCAGGAGAAGATTATCAAGTAGGTAGAACAAACCAAAGAAGGTGGAATGAATTTTATCCACATTAAAAAGACCTAGTTTAAGTGTAAGTTGGTTAAGCTCAACTGCGGTGAAGAAGCATCATGAATGCAATATTATATATATATATATATATATATATATATATATATATCACAATCTGTGTGTGTGTGTGTGTATATTGTGCCATCGGAACCATTGCGGAAGAGGAAAACAGGGTTAAACTAAATAACCAAAGAAGAAAAAAAATTTTGTCCATTTTTTCACTCGCAGTTTTTGGGCTTTTTTGATGTTTTTTATTGGGGGAGGGAAGGGGATGATCAGTGCAAGGTTCGTCAGTGGGCGTGATACTACTTGGTTGACAGACCGAAGTAGAGGGTTGATCCAGGATCTAACCTAAAAGACAGCACGGAGATATGAGGGTATCGCAACCCGTTGGGAGCCGGTGACCAAACAAGTGGTTCATAAGCCTTTAGGACCACAGAACCGGGGGCACAACACATCCTTGAATTACAATGCCACTCAGAGTGAGGCAAGGGACAGTGACTTTAGTTAGTGGCGAGTCACATCCGCCACGTCATAGTGTTGTTAAATAGATATATGTGGCTTTTTATAGGGAGAATGCTTGCCAGACGAAAACCCACCACGGCCTGGAACACTGGAACGGGATAATCCCGAAACCACCCAGCTGGCACCACGACGAGGTTGTTAGGCAAGCCACAGATATCCGTTTAACAACAGTGTGACGTGGTGGACGTGACTCGCCACTAAATAAAGTCACTGCCTCTTTTCTTTTCGGAGGATCATTCCCACATCACGAACGGCATCCAATTCGAAGTGTTCCTTTGATATCGAATCCAGCGAACAAAATCACAAATTTGAAGTCACATTCACGAACTCACTAAACATGGCTACATACACATACATAAGTACACACACTTGTACATGTCAACACACACATATCAAGTTCTATGCTACTGGTCAAATTGTAATAATTTGTACAATTGCCGATCCCACGCGTTTGTATTACCAGGGTTATGCTTGTGATGGCGTACCTCGTACTGACGAGAATAAACTATTTATTTATTTATCAGATGCAGTTACACAGGTATCTCTACTCGCTGCATTTGCTCAGTAGTCAGCATAACGTTGTGATAAAGCCAGTGTTACTGTATGAATGGGAGCCATGGCCAGTTCGCAGCGAAGACATTAAACCATTGGCCGTGTTTGACCACCGGTGTTTGCGAAGTATTGTTCACGTTTGGTGGGAACACCGGGTGAGCAATGCTGAGACCCTCCAGTAGGTTTATGACAAGAAGCCTTCGAGTAAACCTTAGTCGTTTGCAAAAGCTAGGTCATGTCCTCTGTATGCCCGTCGAACGGCTTCCTCGGTGTGCATTATAAGCCGTGAGTGCACCAAGATGGGCGAAACCTCGAGGTGGCCAGTCCATGATGTGGCAGAATGGTATGAAAAATTGACTGCGAGACTTGGCCAGGCTCGTGCGTGCTGTCTTCCTGAATGAGGGGCCTCGGGACGGTTCACACCAGGGGTTGGAGACCGTGTGAGACATGGCGCAGTCACGAAGTCAGTGGCGCTCCTGTATGTGGCTTCTTTCATCTGGTCGTAAATTTTCGCTCTGTTCTGGTCAGTCTAACGCATTTCCTACTTGCTTTCAGTTTCTATATGTTCTATTTGCACCTAACCCCACCATCATACCGGTGTTATTGTTACGGTGTGAGTTGTGGCAACTGGATCCACCACATTGCGGTGCTCGGATCATAGTTGATCAACTGAACTGAATTGAATTCGGCCCAGACGCCGCAGTCGCTTTTACTTGACAAGCTGACGCATTCAGAAAACGCCAAAGATCTCTTCTATTGCTTCGAAAACTGCGTGGGTTTAGGTTTCGACCAGCAGCTCTAGTTAGCTTCAGAGGGCACCATTATCCTGTTGTTGCTGTAAAAGTGATCAAAACGACCACAGCACATACAAACTTCCCTAGTTCACAAACCTCGGTTGCAAAACTAAGTAGAGAAAAAGCTGGTGATAACAGTTCAACTGTCCGGTATGTTGGATCTCTGCATGTAGTGCAGATGGTGAAACAGTGGGTCTAATAGTCCAAATGACCGGATTCGACCTCATTCTGGACATAGATCAAGGTAGACGGAGACTCCAGAAGATTCGGAACAAATGGACTTTGTTAGTAAGCTTCTAAATTTAGCACAAAGTGATGAGACGCCATTTCGTCTTATTAGGATATGCTGAAGATCTGCAAAACCTCTCCCGTCAGCACATGTGTTGCGCACCACATAACCCAACAAATCAAAAGTAACACTAGGCTACTCAGCGCAGTGAGTACTTTACACTTTGCAACAATGGCTTGGTACGGGTGAAAAATTAAGTGTCTGATAAGGCCCGTCGGACGTCCAGGAGGACAGCCATGAAAGGGGAAACGAAAATGCAACAACAAAGTGACGGGCACTTTGGCAAAGTACCTATATTGTTAACACAAAGGTATACGTAAAATAGCCTGTGAAATTCTCCCGAGCGGACAACTTATCATGCTATATCTTCCTATAATGAATTAAACGGGTTAAACACCGCAGTGTAGGTGTGGAGCAAAGCAGCATCAAGAGGTTCACGAGGACGGGAACAAAGTAATTAGTGGGGCGTTTCACAGCTAGCACGTATGAAAAGCGAAAACAGTGAGATTCCAGCTTAATTTCATCTGGTCCATAGAAAATCTTAAATAATACATAACAGATGCTGGTTTGCCAAACAACTTCCACGTGGTGTCAGCTGGGTGGTTCGGGTTTCTCCCGTTCCAGCAAATGGTTCGGTGGCAGTGCTCCAGGACATGGCGGGTTTTCGCCTGGCAAGTGTTCCCCCTATAAAAAGCCACGAATGTCCATCTAACAACACTGCGGCGTAGCGGATGTGACATGCCAGTAAATAAAATCACTGCCTATTGTATTATACCGTCGAAACATTGTATTCCTGCAAATGAATGCTGAAATTGTGGGGAGCGTTGGATGCTTATTTGACAAACGAAAGAAAGGAAAACGTGGGAACTGAACATTTACAGGCTTCCAATGGGCGCGATTTCCTGAATTCGCTCCGCTGCCTTGCGGAGAGGCTATTCGGCCAAAGGCTGGGGGTGGTGCTTCCTAAGACAACATCCAACCTCGGCTTGGGTAACAGGGTAGTATGTTGCACTTTGACGAAACCATGGACCCCTCAGCGTTTTTTAAAGGTAACGGTACCATGGTTGAATGGCTCCATATTTTTTCGTAGACTATTGCATATTGGTTGGCGGCATCCGGTTTCGGATTTGTCTGTCACTGTGGCCAGCCACAGGACGCCTGCGCCTACAGAGGGACCATAGGTGGCTTGCGCTGCACCACCCACAGCTCCAACCACACACCCCATATCCAGTGTAAACCCGAAGGAATAAGACCGGGAGGCATGTGGATGGGAGCCACATTTCATCAATGGAGCCGGCCCACACTGCTTCACAGGCAAACACAAGCACGCTGTATTTGGGAATCAAGCGCACACAAGGCGGTGGCTGGACCGTAGTCCGCTCCACACTGAGTGCATGGAACCAATCTTCAAGCCTAGCACGACCACAAGGACCGTGCACCCCGTCCCCTCCAGCAACGACCAACTATCTCCTAGAGACAGTATGGACGAGGTAGTGGGTAATAGATAGGTAGACACCTTGTCAACATGCACATCAAGCGCAGCCGCACCGGGGATGTCAAACAACAGCCAATCACTTGAAATAACAGTAACAAATAAAATATATCTGTTCAAGAATACGACTATGCAGACATAACTCTTCCCTAAATTAGCATATGAAGTATGTTGGTTAGCAACGAATCCGCGATAAGTAAAAAATGTCCAGAAGTGACTCAGAAAGTGCTACAAACGCAATAAAGTTAACGAAGATAAGCACAATTACCGTAAGCAACGTGGAAATTTAATAGAAAATTATTCCGGTAGGCAGAACAAATCAAATGAAGTGGAATGAAATTTATCCAGCTTAAAAAGAGACCTAGTTTAAGTGTAAGTTGGTTTAGCCCAACTGCGGTGAAGAAGCATCATGAATGCAACATCCGCCTCAGCATATATATATATATACATATATATATATATATACAATTTCATTGGTTACTTATTATTCAGACAGAACTTAGCTGATACAATCAGTACACAAAGTGGACTAGACAGCTGAGACGTAAATAGCACGTGTCTTGATACACGTGGTGTGTCGCCAATGAACCAGCGCTCACGATCGTCAAGACCGCTGGAACCGAACAACAAGTAGATTCCCTTGTTTCCAAAACAAATTGTTGTTCATGCTTTAAAACGTGTTCTCTGTTTTGTTTTGAGTTAAGCTTCCAAATATCAGTGAGCTATGGGGGTTGATGAGAATAAACTGGACAATGTCGTTCAGTAATCTTCAGAGAGCCATAAATAAGTAAACATTCACGTTGATGTTAATGGTAACATTGATGCTGAGTGACAAAATTTATCAAACAAGGATTTATCGAAAACCCCACAATTACCTGCAGTGGTTCAAAGCTAACAAATCTTGACGCAAGAAATCCAACAGCCTACCAGGAGTAGCCACAACTATATGACAACCCAAGGATAATTCGTGTGCTTGCCGTCCAGGACGCTCTCCCCCGAACACAGCCACGGACCGTAAGAATGTTCGATAGCACAACTGCAAAAGAGGTAATTAGGTCAACCGAAAACACACGAAAACTCACTTTCGCTACTTCAGTTTGAATTTGTTGCACTAACTCGCGAGTGGGGGCAAGCACCAGTCCAGACGGACACTGGCGTGACGGTGTTTTCCGCTGCGTAAAAACGGAGGAGAGAGAGAGAGAGAGTAACGACGCAATAAGCCAAGCTGATGATGATGAGGATAAAGACTGCAGCAGCTGAGATTAACAAAGCCATAAAAATGTGAACCACTCATCCGAAGCGAGATCGTCTTTTATCAATCAAGTTGAAGCACCGAGGTAAAGTGCAGCTAAAAAATCAGCAAACGTTAGTTCAGCACGGTATCAGTGGCGGTAAAGAATAGGAAATCACTTTCCTATTTGCCTACATAAGTAACAGATTCATCAATGACTTGTGACTAAGGACCAAAATTGGGCCACGCATTACAAAACCCGAAAGTATCGTTGTTCTTATGCGAGGATTCTAAGGATTACCCTTCGTCACAAATGGTGGAAACGAAGAACAGCGTCTGGAACAGGGAACTAAGATGTAGTGCATACAGTCCGAAGATCTAAAACATCCTCATGTCTTCGGGATCCAAGTCATACGAAGCAGCGGACTAGAGTACGTTTGATTTCGTTGTCACGATTGGCGTTATCACAGGTGAGTAAGGTATTTCAGGAATATGAAATAGAGAGAACAGTAGAATAACAAGAAAATGCGGCTAGGTAAAGGTGAGAGAAACGAACCAGGATGGAATAAGAGGAGGTAGATACAAGAAAAGAAAGGCTTGAGAGTCGCGGACACCGTGATTGCATCAGTTGTTTAACCACCGACGCCACATATTCCAGGGTCTTCATTCGAAAAGACAACAAGCAAATTCGGCGAGTCGCAAAAAGTGGACACAGCTGAGGAAGAAATGTGACACAGGATGATCATGGAGCATCAAGAAAGTTTGCCGAAGACGTTTGCTAAGCCCAAGATAAAAAGCAGCAGCCCCGTCAAGCGCTTAAGTGGTAGTTGGTATCACAACGACCAAAGGGACCTGAAAGTGCATTTCAAGTTGAGAAAAACCAACTTCGTCGGTCATCTGCAGGTGTGCCATTGTTTGAACGATTGATGAAGAGCAAATAGTTCACCAATACTTGTTTAATGATTCGGCTATCAAGGTAGAATTACAACCGTGTGATGTTTGGATGTAATGGAAATAAGGCTGCGATAATCATCGCACAAAGATCGCAGACCCTGTTTGAAGATGGACACCACAATACACAATCTGAAAGTATCTTTTCAGTGCCCCGAATAATACTGAATATGTTGTGGCTTCAGCGGATTGTACGGATAAGGTACTGCAATCGCGCAAGCTGACCGGCCGACTTCCAGGTAAGAAGACAAAGGCCTCAAACAAAAACTGTATTGCGCACCCGGCAAGCACTATAATCAAATCAAATAAGGGGGGCGAATCAATGGTTAATAATGGAATGGCCTAACGCTCACTGGCAGGCTTTAAGGTAGACCATCCCCACTGTAGCGTTCAAGGTGAAGCGTCATCTTTAGTCCGTTCTCAATGGTTTGCCAGTAAGCTTCGGTTTGAACCATGGTCAACAATTCAGGAACTACACCTCATTTGACAGAAGAGAAGATATGCTAACTACGCCACTTAAATTACTTCTGGACGAGTTCAAACTATCAAAAAAGGAGGCTACTCAGCAAGATAAGCCAATCACCCCATCAACTACTTCTGCACCTAATTGTCGACCCAGAAGATGGATCGATGGTTGCCGAGGTCCTGTCACGCCGCTGAAATTATATAACAGTGGACTTTAAACGGGGAGTGTTAGGAGGGGCACCTCCTAACGGACCGGTGAACCCAAAGAGGATCATAGCCTATCCGGTTTTCAGAAATCGAGCAAGATAATCAACAGAATGTTCGCGCAAAACCCAATACTATTATTTGTAACTGAAGAGAACAAAGAACGTTCAGGAAGGTCGGCATGAACAAATAAATATCTGTACTCTGCGCTCTGTAATCATCTCGTGTCCGGCGACCAGTACACTGTTTCTACGACCTTGCCTTTTCGATCGACCAATCGGGGGCGGGCAGGTTTTCAGCAAACTGTCAATCGGAGCGACCGAGGGGACCTTGGTAGGCATAACAGATACTATCGCCCACTGAGGACTTCCCACGCGATAGTCTCTGACAAAAACACGTCGTCCTTGGGGAAAATTGACGTGCTTGAGTTCTGGGTCACTCATTGTGGTAGCTGGCCCTTCGAGGGTGCTTTGTTGTGGGATAGTGCGCCGCGGGAACAGCAAGGAATTCACACCATGGAGCCTGTGGGGCTGAGCGTTTGTGCATATCTGATTGGTGGTAACATCGAGAAGGTTGAAGCGTTCGATCCAATCTAGCCCAAGTAGGTTCAAATTCTCGTATGACGAAAACATTTCCCTAAGCGGTGGGATCGGCAAAGCTGCATTCACATTCAATCTGACCGATTAAATTCAACTTGGTGCCTGATGTGCTCGTCGCTTGTTGGCAGGTCGGTTTGATGTCATGTGCACCAACAGTCCAGCACAGGTTTTCAGAAATGACAGTGATGTCGGATGCTGTGTCATTTTGCAATAGTGCTAATCTTCCGTTGTTGGTGATTGTGACAAACTTCTATTCTTAACGCCTTCGGTGAAGTTCGCCTTTATCCTCCTTGTAGACTTTCCGCGATCTTGTCTTCGCACAATGTATGCTGGTCTGAACGATATTTTGGATATGCAGTGCGTCTCCTAGTGTCCACGTCCAAGACAATTTTGGCAGACATGTTTACCGAAAGGGCACCAGCTCGCAAAATGTCAACCTCTGCATTGCCAGCAAGCTGATGGGGGTTTACCTCATGGACTTCTGCGTTCATCTGCTGGGGTGTAACTCCTTGAAACTTGCCGGACAGCAATATGACCAGTATGCACCTTTGAATCCTCCACCATAGCTGCGCCGTGCTTTCAATTCATAATCCTCTGCGCCTCCGAAAGGACGTTCTGTAAAGTGACATCTGGGTCGCGTTCCAACATCCCAAGGATTATGGTCCAGATTCCGGCATTTTGGGGGGATTGAAAACTGCATGCTAATATCATACACTCCAACTGATCTTCGGTAAGAGACTTGTTTAAATTGATGGCACTCACACTTCATTGTCGCTGCATGAGCAATAAAAGTTTCTGTCTTTTTTGCAAATTTCCAAACAATTGCAATGATTAGTAAAAAGCGAGGAATGGTCTCCAAACATTTCTGTGAGTCGAGAAACTATGTCACCAAAGCTGAAATCATGGGCGATCTTTCGCAAAATGTAGCTGAGATATGTCATGATCGACCGTTCCGTTTTCGTAACAGCAGATGGACTGGTGCAACATCATCAAAACTTGACAACCCTGCCCTGAAAACATTTTCATAGCGCCTGAACTAAGCATCGATTATTAGTCCTCAATCAGTATCAAAAATGAACCAAACAACGCTGCTGATAACTGCGTTCGCTGAAGGCTTCCCAGTATTCTAGAGAGGTGTGAACGGAAGAGATAACATCCGGGTGAGAGTCTCAACCATTCACAGCTGTGCGACTTTAAATTGTTGCTGTTGTTGTAACAAAGTACCTCCAGGTCTGCTGATGAGATTGACATCCCGATTTAGTTCACCTCTGTTGCCAAAATCTGTTGTGGTTTCCGCTGACTGTACGGATAACTTACTATCGCATAAGCTGAATGACCGACTTTCCAGAATAGAAGACAAGTGCCTCAGGCGAAAACTGTATTGAACAATCCGCAAGCAGTGTAAGCTAATCAAATAAGCGGATCGAAACAACAGTTAATAAAGGGATGGCGTAGCGCTCATTGGCGAGCTTCAAGGTAGACCATCCCCATTGGCAGCATTCAAAGTGAGGCGTCATCCTTAACCCACTCTCACTGGTTGGTCATTAAGCTTCGGCCTTCGTCATGGCCAACTGATCCGAGCTGCTAGGAAAAGGGTGTCTGTTCTGTCAACAGAATAGTCCAGTCTAGCCAAGGATGTCCGACGCAAAGAGACTGGACCTTAACGTAGTGCGACGGTTTGTGTCTCTTTGACTCATTGTGCTAAACTGGGTGGTGCCTCCGGGCCCATTGAGAGCTATTCCTACCAGGTTGGTCAATGGTGAGAGGTCAGACAAACTCAATCTTCTGGTCCTCCACGTTGGGGGTTTGAAAGTGGATGGCGTCCATTTCTGTAAATTTAACTTACAGTCATTTCCCTGGGTCTTGCGGGCGGGATTTGATCCGAAGGCTTTAGTTGAGGACCCTAGTCGTCGCTCTACTTAGGTCAAGGCGCTCTTGCAGTATCTTAGCTCACATACAACCATGAGAATTTGTAAAAACTCTAACTACATCCTGCACCGGTCGTTGCGCAAAGCATCAAGGGTCGCCTTGTCTGCTGCGTACAACAGGGCGGAGAAACGAAAAGATGCTACTGCTGACGCTTCCCTTCTTTCGATTCCGCCTGTTTCTCTTACACCCCTCCCAACCCCCATTACTAACCTTCCTTTCATAATTTCCAACTTAACTGACAGCAACCGAAGTGCCACAGTAGTCACAGCAACTGCAGCCACCTTTCCGCAACACCCACCGGATGTCTATCATCAACCGTCCCTTATAAGGCCACGCTGTTCCGTCTCCCTGGTGGCGTTCACCGTTCGCATTCTAAGACAAATAGGTCAACATGCTGCACGCGCACGCACCTTGGACATACTGGGTACTGACATAAGTTGTGTGTCGAAACTACGATGAATGACCCTAATGGGGTTGTTGAATAAACTGCGCCTAGCTTGTCCTCTCGCTATTGGTTGCACGTAGCCGGAAACGCCGATGCAGCACTCACGGATCAAGCTGGGGTAGGTATCATTCTCAGCTCCAAGGCTAAGCTACCGTTGGTTGATTGGATTTTGGTGAATAGCCGTTTATGTGCAGCCCATTTGACGACCTCAACTAAGGTTAATTTACGAACTAGTACAAAACTCTGTTTGTTCGTAATTTCCGCTTATGCTCCCACCGACTGCCAAGGACACATTCGATTACGAACCGAACACGCTACCACACAGTGCTACTATTTCAGCTATCGTGG